ATAAAGTGCTTCCTTGGTTTTAAGAGGCAGGCTTTTTTGAGCCTATTTAAAGTATTAACCTGACCCGCCACCTTTCGATAGATTGATGCAACGTGAGCATCAAATTTCAGCTTGTCATCCAATCTTACACTTAATAATTTTATCTCACTGGAAATAGGTATAAACCTCCCTGCGTATTCTAACTGGAAATCACAGTCAGTGTTTCCTAACACCAAACCCTGATATTTGTCTGGATTTGCTACCATCCCATTCTGTCGAAACCATTGTGTTGTACTGGCTAAGTCTCGGTTTATGCCTTCCTCCAATGCTCGGGGATCATGGTGTGATAAATAGAGTTTAATGTCGTCTGCATAACTAAGAAGTCTACAATTCTCAACCGCGAATATGAGGTCATTCATGAAGATGTTAAACAATAGCGGTCCTAGTAATGACCCTTGTGGTACTCCGGTATGCACACCCATCCACGTGGAGGAAGTATTCCCCACCTTAACCCGTTGATATCGGGACAATAAGTAACTCCGTAAGAGTGAAACGGAACTTTTTTCAAGTCCATAAAAATGAAGTTTCTCAAGGAGCAGATTGTGGGGTAGGCAATCAACGCTTTGCTAAGGTCGATCACTACCTTTCCAATAGTTTTGGGTTGTCAAGTTCAGCTCTCCAGTCCTCTGTTAAGGTCGGCTAAAAGAGTCGTGGGACAACTGTGAAATTTGCGATAAGCAAACATATAGTCATGAAATATTGATTCAAAATGCTCAGTCAACTGCATGTGAATGATTTTCTCAAATACTGTTAAAAATTCAATTTCAGACCTGTCACCGTATTGCCTGCAAAAGCAGGCAATACCATGACCGGTCTGAAATTTGTGTTGTCTAAGGCACTATCCATTTTGTGAAGTGGTGTAATTTGGCCTCGTTTCCAGTTATCCGGAACCTGTGCTGTTGTTATAATGGTATTAACTAGATCACTTATACGCTTTGCTATAGAGCCAGATGAAGTTTTAACAGCCTGTGGTAGAAAAAAGTCGTATTCCTGTGCTTTTTTTGCCTTGATATCTTCAAGTACCGTTTTCACAACATGATGGTTAGTCAATTGCAAACTAAATGCATCAGCTGCTTCATTCTTTACCCCAGGAATTCTCTTTAAATGAGCCTAGTCACTGAAAGCACTGTGTTCATGAATAATCAAATCCTTCGTGATGTTAATAAAGTACTCATTAAAGGTTTCAGCAACTTCACTCTGGTCCCTGATGACTCTGTCATTTTCTTTGAGAACAATAAAGTCCTCGGACCTGTGTTTTCTGGTATGCATTAAAGGCCGCAGGGATTTCCAGAAAACCCTCGGATCAGCCGCTCGCGAAGAACATAGCTGATCAAAATGATCTATAATAGATTGACGACGCAGAGCAACCACACGGTTTCTTTGGCATCTGTAGGCCTCCCAGTCATCTGTTGATCGAGTTTGATAAAACTTACGCTTGAGAGCATTTCTCTTCCACATAGCTTTTCTTGTTTCTGGTGTAATAAATTTTGATTTTCCAGGGACATCCCGAAAACGGTGAGATTTCATCGGAAGATGTTCATCCAACACATCTGCAAACAATTTTTCCCACGCTCAGCAAATATCGCAGTGGGCCTCGGGGATCCGCCATAAGAGGGTTAATTTCATTAAAGACATGTCCTTCCACTTTTAGCTCTCGGCGGTTTTGGCCTTTTTTGCAAAAATAACTTTTCGGGTAAGAGGTTCTGCTAAAGAGAAGATGGCTCAGAACGCATTTTTGCTAAAGAACAGCTAAACTTTGTTTAAATAATCAGCTCTTGAAGCTTGAGTGATAATCAATACGTATCTATGGGCCAGGACACAAAAACCAAGAAGAAAAATACATTGCTCTCGGCCATTTGCCTGCACATGTACACAGGTCGACACTTCTTGTGGATTCGTATCTCCAGGAACAAATTCTTAGGTATTCGTAATGTCTACAGGGTCTAGGAACACTTATTTAAGTCCAAATTAAGTGAGAAATCATAAATATTTGATATTTCTTAAGATGTTTTGATCTATTTGCAGGGAGATAACTGCCCCAAGTCAAAGACTGTGGAACTCAACCCGTTTCGCCCAAAGTCCTGCATTGAGTATTATATTCCCGGTAAGACAACATGTGGTATTTACCGCCTCTATGACCACTATGGCTATAGCTATCCAGTCTACTGTGACTTCACGTCCGAGCCTGGTACTGCGTGGACCCTGGTGATGTCCTACAGTCAAAAGTTTAGGGGTCTGTCCCAGTTCACCAAGACTCCGTTTAAGTTTGACGCTCCAGTCAACGAAAATGCTCAAAACTGGAATGTCTACCGCCTGAGTCTCCGTCGAATAAAGTCTCTTGCAGCTCACTCTACTCATTGGCGAGCAACCTGCAGCTACCCAAGCCATGGCGTCGATTTCACAGACTACGTTCGAGGCAACTTTAGGGATTTCAACATCATCGACTTTCTTGGGAGTGGCAAGTGCAAGAAGGTGGAGTACGTCAACATCCGCGGGCACTTCGGCGTACATACGACAGCCAAATTCTGGCAGGTGGCAGGTGCTTTATCCTTGCACATCGACAGTAGCGCTGCTGGTTGCGATTTTAATCCAACGGCTGGCGCATTGGTAAGTGAAGACAACTTTGGGTTCTATGCAGTCACCAACCACAAGTTCCGCTGCACTGGAGGAGAAGGTTCGACTACTCAGTGGTGGTTCGGTTCCCATCTGTAAACATCCACTCAGGCAATTGAGATAGGAAGCTATGGCTTTCATCATTTAAGTTTTGTGATCTTGTGACACTGATTTAGAAAATAGAATTGACATATTCTTTAATAAGCGATTAAATGTATGAAAACAATAAAGGTAAATCTTATTATCGACTGGTAAATTTATCAAACGAGTATAGCGAATTACTCTTTTCAATACTTGCATGATTTTTAATGGCAATCGAATTGAGTGGAGTGCAATTTTGTCTGAAATCCTACGCGTTACTTCAAAATCAAACGAGTGCGCAGCACAAGTTTGATTTGAAATCCCAAGTATGACCAAAATTTCAGACCAAAATTTCACTACACGAAGTTTAATTACCGCTTCATTGCATCCATTTTGAAATCGCAAAACTCAGTGGCTCAGATACAGGATTTTTTAGTCTGTACAAATGTTGTACTGATCCAGTAGTGAGCTGGTTGTAGAAAGTTACAAAGTTGCTTTACATTTTCTTGCAACTTGATTAGTTTCCTTAAACGAGGAATTAGTTGTCGTATTTTTAAGAAAATCTTACTCATTGGCTGGGAAAAAAGATGCGATTTAGAGTAAAAAAGATGGTGCGATTCGTGAATAAATCACACAGTTGAGAGCCAATCAGATTAAAGGATCCCCGGTGATATTAAAATGAACCCTTATCTCACTTTCTATAAATACTTCGTCCACAACTTTAGTTTCTTTATTCTGGCATTCTCGGTGGAAATTTGAAGCTTGCACACTCATACATTTTTCCTTGGTTTTCACATGGTGGAAAACGGAAGTTGACAACAGCTTGAATTACTCCGGTGACTAAGTGTTCGATTGAATCGAAAGATTGGTTGAGTTAAATGATGCTTTAGATGGAAAATAAGTGAAGCGTTGATTATTTAAAAAAAGAGATATTGAGGGATTCACATTGTTACTATTTAAAAGTGGGGAAGCAAGGAGATATTGAGAGGAGCAACCGACGATTTAACCGTCAACACGATAGACGCAAATTATGTGAATTTGTTGAGATTCCTAATTACAAAAAGGAAAAAGGTATTTTAGATTATGAAAATCAATAACAAAAACTAAAAGTATTGTGCCACGCAATTGCCGATGTAGATTAGAGAAACAATTGGACGAAAGTTTGATTCCGTCTCCTCGGTAGTATATTATTCTGATCTGTGTGAAAAGCCCATTTCCCAATTACCTTTAGCCTCTTTTTCAAAGGGAGTCCTGGTGCTTATCCTTTCTTATGATCACAAGTTTTAAATTACGTGCAAATCAAACTCATTTTCATACAAATAGCCGAGCACCACGCCTCGTTTTCAAAGAGTAATTCGGAAATTGCCTATTGTGTCGATATATCCTGACAAAATAGTTATTGCAGTCCATCATTGTAGAACTAAATCTTTTCTTACTTTGTAATATCTTTTAAAGCTAATTCTAGTTCGTTGATTAAGCATTCAAGCAACGTGTTATTCCGTCGCGTTTCCCGTTTTAAAGTAGGCTCAGGAAACCCCATTACCTTTTTCGTTAAGGCTACCATGAAAGGAAAAAGTAACATGCACCTCGCACTCACATAATGAAAAAAACAGAGAGCAGGTTATTCATTTCACAATTAGCCCACAACAATGGCGTTGAACGCGCTAGTCGTCACAGCCATAAAGAAAGTGAAAGAGCTCCAAACGAACTAAAAAATTTTATTGTGCAGTTTAGCTATTGTAGATCTCCTCGTGAGTGCAGTAAACATGCCGTTATCAGTCCGGGTCATAGCCATTTCTGGATACTTGATGACGTCTCCAATATGGGTGTGGTGGTGGGACCTAGAGGAAACCCATTCATTAATTTAATTCGAGCCCTAGCGACTTTGTTCCTTGGCCATATCCCATGAAACTTTGCAAAATTGCAGAAGACAAACTATTACACACATTGAGCTAAGAATTGATGGCGGCCCCGATGACGAGACAGAAAAATTCAGATGAAAAGTCGGGTGGAGGTGCTTGTTGCGAAGCGTTCGATTGAGGAGTAACCTCTCTTTAGTTGAGGTTTTCAGGTATATAACATTTTTTTTTTTTTATAATTTCCTGAAAAAAATATGTTTAAAAACTAGAATAAATTTGCTTTCAATCTGTCTAAATTCCAATCGAGTGCACGAGGTTTTTGTTCGAGTGCACGGATGTTGAAAGTCTGTTAGTGCGCAAACTACTAGGCGGATTCCCTTTGTCCAGATCCATCGCCGGAGTATTGCGTAAGCCACTAATTTTAACCATACCTTATGGCCGGGAAATTTAGAATAAAAGGACAATTACATATTGGACCTCATAAAGCTTACATTGTAAATTTCAGATCAGGTTAATAGCATGGATGAACACATTTCATATCTCGAGACACTGTCGTCTCTGTGGCACAAATCTGCCGCGGACTAGGTTCAGTGCTGCAAAACAAAGAATCTTTTAAATTGGAGCTCTGGAAGACGTTTTGAAATCAATGTCGATCTTGACAGCAGAGAGATTCATCTATCCTCGATCTGTTCGGGGTGGAAGCGATTTCTCTGTGGAGTTCGCACAGGGTCTTCATTTTAGACGACACGGTCTTCCTTTTAGACCACAGGGTCTTCGTTTTAGGCCACAGGGTCTTCGTTTTAGACCACAGGGTCTTCGTTTTAGATCAGTGGGTCTTCGTTTTAGACCATAGGGTCTTCATTTTAGACCACAGGGTCTTCGTTTTAGACCAGTGGGTCTTGCGTCTTAGGTCTTCGTTTATGGGTCTTCGTTTTAGACACATCCCAAAGCTCTACGTGGAACACCGCTTATTATTCAAAGTGAAGATGATAACACGTATGACCCGCAAGCATCGGCTTGTCTTCTTCCATGAGAAATGGTATGCATTTCAGAGGCTCGACGAGAAGTCCAGATATTCAGCAAATCGCAGAGAAAGACATGCACTTTAGAAGATGTCAAAGGGCAGCAGGTCAGCAGGGTTCGGCAGGGCAAGTGACTGTTTTCCTACCTTATTGTTACTGTTTCGTAAAGGCTTGTTGGACTGAAAATTAATGCATGCCTATTTAAAATTCGGAGAGAAGCAGGATATTCTCTTTCCTCGATCTATACTGGAGAGAAATGAAATTATTCCGATTCCGCGATGTCACACGTCTCTCGTCCCTATTGTTATCAGTGCGCGTTATTCAGTTCACCCTTATATAATCGGTTTTCTTGTAACCCAAAATAGGAAAATCAATGGAGACTCAACAGTAACATCCAGGCTGACGGAGGAGCTTCTATTCCTGAGACACTCTGGGTGGAAGGACCACAGCGTTACAAAGAATTTGTACTTGAGAGAATCCACTGTACTCTTCGAGAATGCGAGGATGTGGACGGCATGCATGTTGAATGTTTGAAATAAATGAATCGTTTTAATGATATCTTACGTCCAGTCCTTACTAGAGAATTCTCTTTCGGCTTACTACCACATTACGACATGGCCGCCACAAAAATAGAAAAATTCAACTTCTTCTTGTTGCCAGTACCTCTCGGCCAAATTTGCTTTGTTTTGGTTTTGATCTCACCCAATCACAAAGCTCGAAAACGATATCCAGAAATGGTTATGGCCCGAACTGGTTAGCTCTCCCCATTTTTTTCTTAATGGTCAGGCAAATTTGGTCTCAGCATATTTGCTTATTAGACATCCTCAACGTCTACTCGATGTACTGTTTTTCTATGGCATCTTTGTTCCATCTAACAGTTCTTAGCTGGGAAAGGTGCGTGGCAGGGGTAAAATGGATTGATTACAAGATCATTGTAAGAAGACGCCTCATTGAAATTCTGAAGGTGGTCGTCTGGCTCATGGCCATATTTTTAACAATTCCAGCCCCCTTAATGAAAAATGTTGGCGTGGCTGAGAAGATCTCACAAACCCTCTACGTTATTTAGTGCGTCGTTGGAACAATTGCCATTAAAGCAATCGCGTCTTTTTACGCTATGGTTTACGCTGGATTTCGAAAGCGCAAAAAAAGTGAAATGGATGGATGGATGGATGGATGGATGGATAGATGACCTTTATTTAAACACGATCAAAATCTAAAGCTACAAGCTTGTGGGGTCGTGCATTTATAATTAAAGACATTAATCCTCGTGTAAATAAAACGTCAAAATATTGACAAGATTGGTAACTAGTGCATTACGAATTATACATTAAATTTTTTTTACGAGATAAAATCATCACTGAATAGGTAAAGTGTCACTAAAATATACAGAAATAATCATCAGTTATATATTGATGATTACTAAGTCGGTAAATCAGCCCAGTGACTGACTTGGTAAAGGCGAAACTTGACTTGTCAAGACATTCGCCATTTTAACTGGATCCATATTTTTGTCATTTTTTCCTGCTATTGTGATGTTCACGGTGAGAGAAGCTTTCCCTGTCCTGTGTCCAAGCTCAGCTTTCCTGGTGTGGGAATTACTTATGCAGTTGAATTCCCTGGCGAATCACATACTGTATTGCTACAGAAACCCTCGTGCTTGGAATGGTGTGAAGAAACTTTTACGAAGAAATTAATGCTCCACCAGCCCAGCAAGCAGTAAATGACGTACGATTCGTGGAGCTCAAAAGAAACAACCCACATGCTCCAACGGAAATTTCACTGGTGTTTCAATCTCCATACAAACCTACTCGCTTACCAAGGTCTGCGTCTCGCGAACTTGCTGTTGGAACAGCACATGAAGGCCATGGGGTGACACAATTCATAATGTTTACGAGATCCATGTCAGAATCCGCGCTGGAAAGAAAAAGCAGCAGAAACTTTGTAGAATATCGACCAAGTTCGTAAAACAGCATGATAATCACCCCATCAGCAGAGGTAGCAGGTTTCGGGAAAAAGAATAAACCGGTTGAGCAGCCAAAACAAGAGACCACATTCTGGAAATCATCAAATCCAAGATGATCAAAATCTTGGGATGCCTCCTTTAATCTCATGAAATGTTCAATTTCCAAGCGATTACCTGAGGTAGAATATAGGCGTGTCTCGGGCGCCAGAAGGCGTCGTTTTTCTCCGTGAAGGTGGACCCTCCTCAGGGGACATTGTGACAGCCATAATGAGCATAACTGTAAGACGAGACGGGCGTAGTAATAGCGGTTGTAATACCAGTATCTTTATTTTAAACTCGATAAAATAATCCCAAGTAAAAAGAAAGCGTCCCAATCTATCTATTTACAAAATTAAACTAGTTAAAACTATCAATATCCTGTTTTACAAGACTGCCGAGTGAGAATCCGATGACACAAATACACAGTTAATTCGCTTTTTAAATTTACCTATTGCTCTGATTTCTCTGACTTTCTCAGGTAAAGATTTCCACAAAAACGCACCGCTGTGACTAAACTGCGTTTTAAGTGATTAATGTGCGGCCTTGGCATTAGCATCTTGCAAAAAGAGTCACGCAAATCACAGTTTGCGCTTCGCTCGTAAAATACTAGAAAACAGAAGAGAAACTGAGATAAAACTGCACCCAAAAGGGAAGGCGCGAACGGGACGTAAAGTTCCATGCACATATGCGAGGCGCCGCGCCGCCATTATGAATTAAAAAACACTATAAAATATCTGTTTGAATATCCCGAGTTGGCTCCCTCATCCTATAAATAAAACATCAACTGGTATCTTGATGTCTGACATTTCCGTCAAAAACAAACTATAACACAACCTGGTGGGACGTGTCACTTCACGTGTTGGTGTTCGATTAAAGACCACGACAGCTTAGCAGCCGCTCACAATGTAGTTTTCTATCCGGGACATTGAAAGCTTAGGAACCGCGCGCTTAACTCTCAGTGAAACAAACATGGCGGATGCGAAAGAATTACAAGCTAATCTTACTGAATATCGTGCTCAGTTCAGACAGGCGAGTTTCTTTTTTATATTTGAAAGGAAGAAAAAGGAAAAAGATAGGTCCCTTGTAGCTTTATTGGAGTATTCTTTCGAAATTGTCTATAATAGAGAAGAAAAAAAATTGAAATCTTCGTCCTCTTGAACTAGGTCGAAGCAGCGCTGACTACGGATCCAGATAATGACGAACTCATCAAGTTAAAACAAGATTTACAGGTAGAATTTACTCTTTGAATGTTTTTATTTGATGGTACATTATCTCTTTCGCGTAAGGCCATCGAGTGTGTTTGCAATACGTCAACCCAAAAAAAGTTTCTTGGATCAAAACGCACACAAAACCAAACCATTGCAGAAAAGTTACCCTTTCCCTCCAATACGCATGGTTATTTTATTTTCTTGCTGTTTCTTTTTTATATCAGGAGGTGATAAATCTTACATTAGATCTTCTGAAGGTGAACGAGGTAAGCTTTACGTTGTATATGTGTTCTTTTGTTATCTTTACTGTTAGTAAGAAGTGTTACAAAAAACTGTAGATATGAAGTTTACTGAACTTAAGATCGGCATTGAAATTATTAGACATTATTTATGTCGTAGTTGTGATGAGACATTATTTATGTTGTAGTTTTAATTAAATTTCTGGTCAAAATGACAAGTTTGAGTTTTTTTTCCCTTGTTCAATCTGTATTACAACAATCTTCAAACTAACAAAAAAAAAACAAAAAACATGTCAGTGAGGTTGAATTGGTTGAAAAGCACATTGTATACTTTATTGATTTCCATATAAGGAAACTATCAGACCTCAAGAAATCCAGATTGAATCAGCTGATGATGAAATCAAAGTTTATTTGATCACAAATAATGAAATATGTAAGAGAGATTTTACATTTTTAGAGATTCATGTTAAACAAATTTAAGATCTTCTACATAGATGTTCTTCATTTCTATTAGAAAACTGTCATTCCCTCAGCTGCCTTGAAATGGAAAGTTGGACAAAAATGTCAAGCTGTGTGGAGTCAGGATGGAAGGTACGTTTGGAGGAACGACCATGTTTCCTACATTTTATACTTTTTCGAATGGGCTCCTTAACCCTTTACTTTTGTACATCAGTATGCATATTCTCCATACTGTTTTCTACACATTTCCTAAGGTGCTGGCAAGGAGAATTTGTGTGACAATCAAGAGCTTTTTCAATTGGTGATCATTTCCTTTATTCTCCTGACCTTAATGAGTGATTCAGAGGTGATACCATTGGGAGATTTTAGATGCTAGTCACTCTTACAGCTCAAAGGGGTAATACTGAGGCACCAAATATTGGTTGCTAATAAACAAGGAATGGTACTACAGCCAGAGAGAGATGTAGGAGTGAATCTTAGGACCGATCCCTTGGATTCAGGCAGGTTGGGAACAGAGAAGCTGAATTTGCATCAACTTTGTTCCTTTTCTTTCTTTAGTTTGTGTGTTTGTGTTTTAGAGTTTGATCATAGTTAGGGCATAATGGTTATTTTCTTTTTTTCAGTTACTATGATGCAACTATTGATAGTATATCAGAAGACTTTACAACATGCACAGTTTCATTTGAAAAATATGGAAATACAGAAATTGTAAAGGTCAGTAGTGAGGAGTAAACCCTGGAACCCAGATCCCCTTAGCTCTTTCATTCCCAAGATCTTCTTTGTGATTCCCCTTACTGTCTGCTATACATTTCCTATAATGCAAGTTTAGAGAATTTGGTATTGGATCAGTTAATAATCCCCTAAATTGATATCTTTCTTTATTCTCATCACTTGTCTGCTTGACATTGTGTGGCCATTTTAAGGAGAAAATCTGCCTCGGTCCATCTTGGAAGTTGAAGGGTTAAGCCCAGATTTATTCTCAAAGTGCCACCAAGGTGAAAAGTGTTGTCCTGATTCTCTCCCTCTTCTAAAGTTGCACTGTATTTCAAGCCACTACAGTTGTACATGCTGGTCTTTGTGCTGAAGTAATTTTTTTTCTTTTATATATATTATATATACCTGACCTCTTCTCATTTAAAGTGTTGGCTGTTATCAGATTACTTGCAATGTACACTATCTACTTCAGTTTGCATTGTATTGAGAAACGTAGACAGAGGATGTTGGGTTAATTGCTCACTAGTGCAATTTTAGTTGGTGTATAACCCCAGAACATTAAGGGTTCTATTAAAAGGTCCTTTGTGCATATTGAAGCTAGATGCTGTTCTTCAGAGAAAATGAAAATTTGGAGCTTGGTTCTTGTTTGAAGACCAATGATTATTCAAACTAAATAGAGGTTTCTGGTGATCCTCAAAGCCCTAAACATGAAGTTAAATTCCAGTTGACATAATTGTATGAAAGGAACAATTTTAAGAGAAAAAGATGGTTATAAGGATCTAGTGTCACTGTTGATTTCATGGTGGACTTTAATTTTTCCTTATTGTGATCTGTTGAAGTTATGAAAACACATGCATACTGTACATGTTCATGTAATGCATAAGAACAAAATATACCAGTGTAGGAAAGAGAAGGAAAAATTTTACTATAAAATATTCACAACCAAAGTCAAGAGAAATCAAACAGTGTTGAAACAGTGCACTTCAATTTAATACAGGTTTCATCACTAAGAGAAAAAGACCAAGCTGGTTCTTCTGCACCTAAAAGGGTGGCTGAAACCAGCATTGTGGCAGCGCCAAGCACATCAAAGAAATCCAGGTACTGTTGTTTATGAACATGTATGTGTAGCTTCTGTATCTCTTCATATCAGTTAAGGTGATACCGGAAGCGAACTCAGCCTTTTCAGGAGGATTTCCTTTTTTTTATATCTGAAAGATTTAAGTAGCTTATTTGCAAAATTTGACAATTGGAAAATATCCTAATTTCCTTAAGTGCAGATTAGGAGAATAAATTAAACAACCAGAGCTTCTTTAATTGGTGATCTATTTATCTATTGTGTATTTAGTGCCTAGTCTTAATGTCAATTTCTTGTGATTATTTTTACTTTCTACATAGCTTTACCAATTTTTGTAAACAGTGCCTTTGAATCTTGTAGAAAAGGTGCTATACAAATGGATTATTATTATTATTTATTATTGATAATTTCCTTTGTTCTCTTGACTGTAATGTGAGTTTCAGGGGGTGATGTTGTGGGGAGAATTTAGACACTGGTCACTGGAGATACTAATGTCATCTGCTCTGACTTGAAGCATTTTTATCGTCAACTTTCAAAGCTTATTAAATTTGTGTGATTCATGTTGAATTACAGAGTCTATTTTAATGATTTCAAGACATCTGTTTTATTAATTTATATAATTTTTTTCTTGGCAGGGCTGATGAGGATGCTCTCCGTGAACAGAAAAAGAAGAAAATGATGAAAAAGAAACAAAGGGCCAAGGTGAGGTGTTGTAAAAGAAGAGAATTCAGAGATTTGGTCAAATCAAACTACAAAACCTTGTTCCAGCAAGACACCGAAATATTGCAGATCTAAAAAATTAAGAGCCTACAGAATTTTTGTTCTACGCGGTATTATATTCCTAAATGATTAGTCTGACAGTCAGTGTTAATCAACAGTCACTGTGATAACTGTAATATTGAATGGCTATGTTCATCTTATGTAAGGAACTTGAAGAACAAAGGGAAAAAGACAAGCAGAACTGGTTGGATTTCTTGAATAATTCAAAAGTAAGTCTGGGTGTGTATTTTATTATAATTTAAATTACTTTAAAATTGAAGAAGAGCTCCCCAAAATATCTCTCAGCCAACTGTCGTCCAACTGTTCACCGAGATTTTGAAATTTTGTGAGTCTGAAAAAATTTACTCGTGCTTATTTATTCCAAAGTGTGCTCGAAATCATGTGACTACCTATACTTATTGCTAAATCGAAGTAACTAAACTCTTCCAATTTCATCAGAACAAAATGTGTCGGTCATATACTACACCTCAAGTTCACATAAATGAAGATCGATATGGTCAATAATGAGGTTTGCAATGCATTATTGGGCGATTAAGACACTTGCACTCGAAATTTACTTCTATTGCATGGTGTTTGTCAAAATTCATTTTGAGGTATTTGTGAAAGATCAAACTTACCAAGATGACAGTCTATTTACTCGTTTCTGAACAGCCAACAGTTGGCCGACAGATATTTTGGGGAGCTGTTCTTCAATTTTACCTAAATTACTAGTGTTATCATCATAGTCAATTTTTCTTTTGCTGTAGTAGTATGTATACAGCAATTTTACTTACTCCTTGTTGTAAGAAAACCTGGATGAGGTTTTGCAAAGGTGTCATGGGAATGTGTGCTTGTATGGGTACATGATCATGAAAATAACTTTACCAAACTCTCGCTTGTGTAGTTGAGGGATGCAGTGGTCTGACGCTTTTTGGCGGGACCCCAAATCAAGGGTTCCAGATTCAAGCCATAGCCAAATTATTGTGTTCTATTGTTTGGCTCGACGCTAGACTCTCATCACAGACCGTCATCACACAAGTAGTCTAAATGGGTACAGGTGAACTCTCAGGGGGAGGGGGTGTTGCTTAACCTACATTGAGGCAGCTAGCTTCATGTTACAGAAACTGGGTATAAACAGGAGCCTTTATGGGTGGCTAGACCTGTAAGACGCACACTACACGTAACTGTAACCTCTGTCACATTAAATCGCCTCCCGGTTAGCTCAGTTGGTTAGAGCGCTGGATTGTGTTGTGTGGGAGGTCGAGAGTTCAAGCCCCGGCCGGACCAACACTCAGGGTCTTAAAATAATTGAGTAGAATTTGCTGCCTTTCTATAACATCAAGAAATGGTTAGATATTCTAGTCTTCTCGGATAAGGACGAGTAGATGGAGGTCCCGTCTCCTGCAGGGCTGGGGTAAGAGACGTTAATTTCCCACACATGAGATTACTGTGTGATGGATGTCCTCCCTTGGGGTGGGTTGGGTGGGTTTATTAGAGGGCCATGTGTTAGAAAACTCTTTATTGGGTGAATCATGTATCTACCCTCTCGAAATAAATAACATTGTATTGTATTGTAGACTTGACCTGGGGAGGGTAGAGGGTTACAATCAGAAACAACACCTGTTGATACAATTTGTCCTCAGGCATAAGATGTCACCAAATATTACCACCTGACATTTAAAAAAAAAGAAACACCCTTCTCCCCTTGCTTTGTCAAAGTTAATTCTTCTTGTTCACCTAAATAATTATGGCAAAATATGTTTTCCAAGGGTAAAAACATTTATTTAATAACATTGAAAATGAGTAAAGGGCCAGGGGAATAGGATAAACTGGCTTGTGTACATGTAGCTTAGTTGTCTCAACAGTTTTTCTTTGCAGTTGTTGATCAATTGTTGTATGTTTTTAGAAATTGAGCTCATTAAATAGCAGTTTTAGAGGTTTATCTGTGTTATTCTGTTGTCATAACACACTGCATCATGTAGTAAGCATAGCATTGTCTTGTTTCTTTGTTTGTGGTGAGTAGACTTTTGTTTGGTTTTTTTGTTTTTGTTTTCTGCTTGATTTAGGGAGGTGGATCCAGCAAATCTGGAAAGAGTTTAAAGGGTGTGTCAAAAAAGAGCATTTTTGCCTCCCCAGAATCAATCCAGGGAAAGGTGAGGCAATCTACATATACTGTAATGTGCGGAGTCATGTCTTGGTAATGATTTTAATAACAATGATAATGACAATAGTTACACTGATAGTAATGGTAATGATTATGATAAAAGAAATGAGACTTATTATGACAAAACTGTTCACTCTAAAGACAATAGTATTGCTTATGATAATGATCAAGGTATTGGATAATGGATTATGATGATATTATAATGATTAAAGGAGCACTGTTGTCCAAAATGTAGTCCATGGACTTGGAACAATCTTGAAGAGCATAAAGACCTGATGTGAGAATGAAGCTAGTCACACCAGATATTCTTAATGATTATAGGTGCACTGTTATCCAAAATGTAGTTTATGCACTTGGAACAATCTTGAAGAGCATAAAGATCTGATGTGAGAATGAAGCTAGTCACACCAGATATTCTTAATGATTAAAGGGGCACTGTTTTCCAAAATGTAGTTTATGCACTCGGAACAATCTTGAAGAGCATAAAGACCTGATTTGAGAAGAAGCTAGGCACACCAGATATTCTTAATGGTTAAAGGGACACTGCTATCCAAAATGTAGTTTATGCACTTGAAACAATCTGGAAGAGCATAAAGACCTGATTTGAAAAGAAGCTAGGCACACCAGATATTCTTAATGATTAAAGGGGCATTGTTATTCAAAATGTAGTTTATGCACTTGGAACAATCTTGAAGAGCATAAAGACCTTATTTGAGGATGAAGCTAGTCACACCAGATATTCTTGGTAATGCATAACTGCCTGTCATGCTTGGAACTGCTTATGTACTAAAGAGATGGTCAAGCATCTTAGTTAGAGGACAGTGCTGCAACTAAATATCTTGGCATTTTTAGAAGCTGACACCAATAATAATTCTGATTATTTATTTGAGATGTGCAAAACACTGACATAGTTCTTCTTTCCTTTCTAGGTTGGTGTTGGAACTTGTGGAATCGGGGGACAACCCATGACGCAGTTCACACAACCAGACAAACTTGTTTACAAGAGATGATAATATCATAGGTGTCATGCTGTCACGCTGTCACAAACCAAAAACAGTGACTGTGTATACGACTGTAAAAACTCTATGAAAACTGTACAGACACATTTAAAGTTTACGCTACCTGTAGATGCATAATTAACCTTGTAATTTCGTAGGGTCGATGATCTATGAAAGTTTTAAAAAATAAAACTGAGATCAACAAAGATTAACTGTCTCAGCTCGCACAGCTGCTAAGAGAAATATAAACCGTTAGGTTATGGGAAGTCAGAGTGCATTCCCAACTGACATTTCCAGGGTTAAATAACTATTATGAGGATAGCTTTCGCTTTTCATTCCATGTTACCTTTGTACAAGCTAAACCACCTTTTAATGGCTCGATGGAAAACGCGGGGCCGGGGATGCGGGGTCACGGGGTGTGGAAGACATGGGGTCTAGTGGAAAAGGCGGAGTCTGGTGGAAAACGCAAGGTCTAAGTTGAAAACATGGGGCGCCACTTTTCGCCAAAATATGAATTTTCCTCGCTAGAAATGAGAAGTCGAAATTTTGTGAGCTTAAACTTCGATGAAAATCAACTCGCCGTCTCGGCCTGAAACGTGTTTTTCGTTCAAAACCTCGGTTTTTCATTTTTATGACGGAAATTCATAATTTGATGAAGAAAATGATACCCCGCGGTTTCAACCGGATCCCGTGTTTTCCATACTCTGGGACCTCGTACTCTGAGACCCCTGCCCCGCGTTTTCCATCTGACCCCTTTTGATTTTATTTGTTCCTTTTATTTTGTTTTTCAGGATAAATTCGTGTTCAATTAGACTGGTATCATTTTAAGCTTTGTAAATTAAAGTTTTGAATAGTAAATTCTCCACTGAAATAAATTACCTCGAGTTCGAGCCTTGGCCGGGGACATTGTGTTGTGTTCTCCGGGAAGACACTTTACTCTCACATTGCCTCTCTTACCCCATGAGGATTACATGGGTAGCGGCAAATTTAACGCCGGGGGTAACCCTGCGATGGTCTAGTATTCCATCCAGGGTGAGTAGAAGTACTCCCTGTCGCTTCATACGACGCAAACCGGATTTAAGCGCCGGCCCGATGGGCCACTTGGCTCGTAAACAGGCTTTACCTTTTTACCTACCATTGAAGGACAATTTCCGCTTGTTCAATTGTTTGTAGTTATTCCGAGAAAAAAAGGAGGACTTAAAGCCTCCCATTTCTGAGATTATCTCTCGCTATCTATCTTATCTCTGTTATATTCCAAGAAAAAAGGGATGTTTGAGTTGCACATGTTCGACTTCCGTCGTTTAGCGCAAGACAATAGATACCGGAAATATTGTAACGCGCGAAACCGCATACATCAGAATGTTAAAATTTCGAAGTTCTTGACGTCAGCGAAGACTATTTCGCTATCATGTCGTTCACTGCGGAGAAATTTGGAGAAAAAGCTAGGTTTCGAGACGAAAGCGAAGCCGAACTGATTCGAGAGAAACTCGAAATACTCGTAGCCAACATTCTAACCCAAGTGGAAAAGCGCGACAGCCGTTTTCGGAGTACATTGGTCAAAAGCGGAAGTGTTTACGAAGGGACGAAAGTTTGTAGGCCAGATGAGTTCGACTTCATGATCCGAGTGGATTCTCTCACGGACAAGCCATTTCTTTGTCCTTGCGACAAAGGTGATGGATATGTGAAGCTCTCCCTTAAAAGCTGTGATTGGGATAACTGCATAGATGCCGATGGCTTTTTCAGTCCAAATTTGCTATCCCGCTCCTTCAAGAGGCTTGTGAGTGAATCGCTTGACGATATCCAAGTACCTGAAGGTTTGGCCGTATACAGAACGAGACCATCGTTATCTAAAGCAACTTGGTGGCCTGTTTATGCAGATCTGCTCGGGAACAGTGGTAAAGAAAGCCAATCTGGTGCTATGTACTTTGAAAATCATGGCCCAGCTACGACATTTAATGTACAGTGGCGAGGAGGAAGTAGTTACAAGGATTTAAGGATAAGTGTTGATCTGACACTGTCCATAGATTACTCCATATCCAAACTGCTTGTTCCGTTGGCAGAAACCCCTTCCGCTGGAGCGAATGGCATTCTTCAGAGGTGCGGATTTCACGTCGTTCCCGCGGGCTTCGATAGTTGGCGCATTTCGTTTTCTATGGTCGAGAAAGAAGTTCTGGCCACTTCTCCTGACAGCTTCAAAGAGTGCTACCGAGTACTGAAAGTCGTGAGAGATGTTGTGTCTGAGAAACTTGGATGGGATGCATCCCTTGTTCCATCATACATGTTCAAGACGGTTCTCCTGTCTCAACTGTTCACGACGGGACATTGTTGGAAGAAGGAACTTCGTTCCCAATTGATTATCGACCTTTTGGAACTTGTTATGCAAGGCATAAAAGCGGAAGAGATTCAGAGTTGCTTCTTACCGAAGTATAACCTGCTATCTCCGTCCGATCACGAGAACAAGCTGCGACAGTGTGTCCTGGAGGAAATGCTTCGCTTGATGAGAGGGATGGAAATGGTCTTTTCCAAGAACCAGGCCAGGGAAAAAAGACAGCAGATAAGGGTCTTGGAAATGGTTGATGTCCTCGACTACATGATCTCGTGTATTCTCCATGGAAAGAATCCTTCTGTTGTTTGGAATAAAGTTTTTGTCAACATCGACAACGTCCCAAACTCCAGGAAGCATGGTTGGTTCATGAATGAGATTACCGACCTTAATTGCACAGAGCTTAGTGAGAAGGCATATCTCAAGTTAATTCAGATATGGTGTTTTTCGGAAGAGTTTTTCAGGAAGTTATTAATCACACTCAAAGGGGAACTGAACTTGTTGGCTCATAAGTTTAAGATCTTGCTCTTTATGAAGAAAGATAACTTTGAGCGTCAACACAAGCGTCTAACAGAAAATGAAGTTACTAAAACTTCCCTTCATCAATTTGCCTTTGATTGGATGGATGATTTTGTTGACTGTTACATCGAGGACGACAACTCAACTTTGCCAAGCCTTCATAAAGCAATCCGTCCTGAACTTACGTCATCAGGTTTCTTCCAGGGTGTTGCTGAAATGGCAACGAGAGAGGGCAGTGGCAGAGGCCTTGCTTTACTGAAACAGAAATTAAAGCAGTACCTATTCATGGTTCCCAAGGAGTACTTACTGGACGGTGCTGTTGACTATGTCAGCCACATAATTGTTCATGCTAAAGAAGTATTAAAACTTAAACTGGAGCACATCTCAATTCCAGAGTTGGATCTAGATTAAGCAGATTGAACGTCCATTGGCATCCTTGGTCACCAATTAGAATCACATTTGTTGAAATGCTTTGAATCGATTACTAAAAATCTTCTTTTGTTGTATATCGTTGGATACGGATATCAATATTGTACAATATCGGCGTAAAATAAAACGTTTCATCGTCCCCTTGTAGAGCTGATTGAAGCATTGCGCGGTACTCTGACGAGAGCAGCACTGTCTCAGTGTATTCTTATCAGCACAACAAATTGACCAATCATATTGCGACATTACTGCTAGTTGTTCCTGGTGAAACATGTTACCTACTAAAGAATATTTGAAGTATACTTACAAGGCAAAAATATGTTTACAAAGTGAAAAAAAAAAAGTTTAAACCTAAGTGAACTTTATGGATGTATAAATTTCATTTCAAACGAACTTGCCCAAGTCTTACTGCTGTGTGATTTTCCTTTGATGGGGGAATGTTTTATTATATATTTTTCTCTCTTTACTGTGTTTACGGAATCTCCCTTACAGTGTGTCAGCATGAGATTATCTCAGTTGTAAATATTCGTGTGAATTATAAGAATTTAATTGACTTCACTTAACTTGACTTGTTTTTGAGCATATGTTGTTTGAAATATGCCCCCACTCGGCAAGTGCATCAATTATGTTCTTAAACGGAAAGTTCTTGACGGTAGGGAAAGAAATATTTAAAAGGTAAAAAACCAAACTTTTAAACCTCAGTGAATTTTAAGGATATTGAATATTCATTTGAAACAACAACTCTAAGTCTTAGAGCCGTGTGATTTTCCTTTGATGGAGGAATGTCTCAATGTATACTTTCTCTCTTTACCCGCGTATTTACGGAATCTCCCTTACAGTGTGTCAGCATTAGATTATCTCAGTTGTAAATATTCGTGTGAATTATAAGAATTTATTTGCTTCAATTAACTTGACTTGTTTTCGAGCATATGTTTAAAATATGCCTCTCTTCCCTCCCCCCCTCCCTNGAACAAGCTTAATTTTGGCGAGCAAGTGCTCAATATTCTCTTAGTGAAAATCAGAACAGCCATCTTTGCCTTTTACGACAATTATAGTCTATGATACAATTAGGGAAGTCAAAATTGTGCCGCTTCGATAAGCACAAATTCGATGGCCCATTAGTGTTGCAAACATGCTGAGACCAGTTTCGATACGACACCCTCAAGGGATGGCCAAATTATCACGGAAACACAAATTCCTCGATCATGCATCGACTGCTCAGGAACAAAGCATCGCACGAAAAAATTCCTATGTAATCCATGCGTGACAGCTTCTAGACAGCTTCATTGGAGTCCACCAGATTCCGCAAAACGGTAGAAAAATCATCTAAAACCGAAAAATCGCAAAAAAAAAAAATCGATCAAAATCGAAAACTGTCTAAATCGTGTATGCAAAACTGTCTAAATCGATAAATTTTCTCATCCAAGTTATCAAAACCTCAGTCGATCCGATAGAGTGGTGACAAGAGCAGCATATAGAGGTTTCACGGCTGTTCGAGATCATTAGAGGCGCATAATTGCCGCTCAGACCTCGGAATGATACCAAATCCAAAAATCATTAATACTTTGGACAAATACAAATCTAAAAAATAGCCAAAACCGCAAAACTGAAAATCATAATGTCCCCCTCCTTAAATAGATTCCATGTTTTCTTGCATCTGTTCAGAAACAGACCACAGATGGTACTTGACCTATGAACCAAAAAATGACACTCTCGGCCAGCGCATCAATTATGTTCTTACCACAGTTCGCTGAAATGACACAGTAACATGAATCTATGCATTTTAGGTAATAAAAAGCATGAAGTGCATCAATGATTTTCTTGTATTTGCTAAAGAGGCACGCGGCGACATGAATCTATCCATTTTAGGTAATATTAGAGCATTTTAGGTAATAAAAGGAAAAATAAGAAGGAAGTTAACGTTGCACATGATGACGTCATCTATACGTCTTCCTCCTGGAACCGATTAAAATGCCCTCCCCCCCCCATGCAAAAGTCAGTTAATATACTTTACTAGGGAGCTGTGTGACCCCAGTCGCTCAGAGGTTCAGTGACGTTCTGTTGAAAACGCGTCCTTACGAAAAGGGCAAGAGCTCTTATCATGTCCGCAATTTTAGAAAATTTCGAGGCGAAAGCCAAGTTTCAAGACGAAAGCGAAGCCGAATTGATAAGAGAGAGACTCGAAACACTAATCACCAACATCATGGAAGATGTAGGAAAGCGTGATCCAAGATTTCTGAACACATTGGTCAAAAGCGGAAGTGTCTAAGAAGAAACGAAAGTTTGCAAGCCGAATGAATTCGACTTCATGGTTAAGATAACCCCTCTTACAGACAAACCAATAACCTTGAAGAACTCCCGTGTGAAGGGTGACGGCTAAGTGCAGCTATTTCTTGACGATGATCGGTGGAAAGACTTCAGCGATGAAAATGAAGGCTCCTTCAGCCCACACTTACTTTCCCGTCACTTCAAAAAACTCATCATGGAATCAATAAGTAAAGTAGAAACTCCTGAAGGATTGAGCATCTACAGAGCTCCCCAGGAAGAGTCAGAGGGACGTTTGTGGCTGATGTATCGTGGAATACTATGCGACAGTGGAGAGGAAAATTCATCTGGCGTCACATACTCCGAAACGCATGGACCATCGACGACCCTTGATATTCATTGGACAGTGGGGTACAGCGTATAACAACTTGAAAGTGAATGTCGATTTGACACCAGCTCTGGACTTTCCCATATCCAAGCTTCCTGTTCCGCATCTAACTGATCTACGCCCCGAAGTACAGCAAAAGGTAGACGGGATACTACACTGAAGACTGGATTCCATGCCGTTCCTGCCGGGTTGAATGAGTGGCGCATCTCGTTTTCTGTGGCTGAAAGAGAAATTCTGGTGACGTCTCCAGAAGGTTTCAAAGCATGTTACAAAGTCCTGAAAGTCTTACGAGATCATGTGTCTATGAAGCTGGGATTGAGGGACTCCTTGATACCATCGTATATGTTTAAGACTGTTCTCTTGTCCCAGTTGTTCACCAAAGATGACCACGCCTGGGAAGAGGAGTTCCGATCTCAAACGATCACCGGTGTTTTAGAGCTTATTTTGCAAGGAATAAAGGAGGAAAAGCTTCCAAATTTCTTCATGCCCTCATCTCTACTACTATCCAAAGCACATGAGAACAAATTGCGGCAATATCTCGTAGAAGACATGCTGTGCGAAGTGAAGGGCTCCAGCTTCGCCCACGCACTGATGGAAGTTGAAGAAAAAAACCAACAGGTACAGATTTTACAACTAATTGAGTTGTTGGAGTACATTTTCTCGTGCCTTAAAGCTGGAAAGAATCCAACTGATGTTTGGAAAATGATGTTTTCCAACATCGACAGTGTTCCTGGACATCCCACCTCTTCAGTTCAATTCGACGTCAGTTGGATCGACATTCTAGACGTGACCGTTACAGAACTTCGCCCTGCCGCCTACAGGAATTTAAAGAAGATATACGACATTGGGGAAGGTTTTAGATCCCTTTTCCTTGGCAGTCTTCAAGGTGAGGCTAAACAATTGGCTCAAAAGTTCATAGACTTCGTCTTATGGAAGAAAAATAAATTTGAGGCTGAGCACCCACACCTTTGTAAAGAGGAAGTCCGACAAGTGGGCATCAGTGAATTTGTAAGCGACTGGATTTTAGTCCACATCGTTGAAAAATACGTGAATAAAGACAATACGTTTTTGTCAAGTACACACAAAATAATTCCACCTGAATTCTGTCTGCCAGATGACAGTCCTTTTCGTGAAATTGCGAATATAGCAATGGAAAAAGGCAGCAAAGAAGGCATGGCTCATTTCGAGAAAGTTCTCAAAGAGTACTTATCACAGATTCCCGACATCATTATAATGATGGTCGCTGTAGATTTCTCAAGGACATCGTTTTTACACGCAAAGGAAGCGCTGAAACTCAAACTTGATCACATCACTATTCCAGGGCAAAGGCCTATCTCCTGTGCAGAGCTAGATTTGGACTGAGCTTTTGTAATTAAAATATCTATTTCCTCGGCCGGCAAGGGGCAAGGTAATCCTGAGGTAAATCCGAGTGTTCTCATTGGTTCTTGCTTGGTCCCTATTTTCGCTTATGGGCTGTTATCTATTATCAGAAAACCGAAAATGCAGTTAGTCGGCCGACTAAACTCTATAATTTACGCAATTTTGTAATTTTTTAATCGTAATTTTCTAATTACGGCCCAGATATTTGCAACTAACAATTTACAATGCTTTGTTTCATTACATGTGACTTTGGTTATTGTCGTTAAGCTATACACAAGTATTTATCCATCCAGGCGTGAAGATGCAAGAAAATTATTGAATAATTATTCTGCAGATACACGATAAAATGTAGTTGGCCACCATAAAAAGTGCTTACTAGATAAATGTTTCAGGAACAGTTTATGGTATTAATAAGGAGACCTCCAAAGAAAAGCTGAACTGAGCTTGAGGAGAAGCTCACTACTCAAATAGATGTAAAATATTTGGAAAAACTATGGCAAGTAAGATCTGATTGATTGATGAGTGTTTACTGTTTGATTGATTGATTAATGATTGACTTATGACTAATTGACTGTTTGATTGATTGATTGATTGATGACTGATTAATTTTGTTATATCAACTAAGTTGAAATTGTAAATTGGTCACCGTAAAGAGTTAAGAAGCAGACGTTTCAAGCATTAGCCCTTCATCAGAACGAATCTTTAATAAAATCTTTTATAACGAGACCTTCAAAGAAAAGCTGAACTGAGCTCAAGGAAGCCTATTACTCAAATAGATGTAAAATATTTGGAAACACTGTGGCAAGTAATTAAGATTGATTTGATCAATTAATGATTGACTGTTTGCTTGATTGATTGATTGATTGATGATTGATTAATTGTTAATTGACTGATAACTGATTGACTGTTTGATTGATTGACTGATGATTGACTGATGACTGATTGACCATTTGATTGAGCAACTTTATGATTGACTAATTTAATGATGATTTGATTGATTTACATATTTGTTTTGTACAAAAAAGCGAAAGGAGCCAGTGATTTTCACGAGTGCAAATTTCTCCATGCTTTTATTTCTACTTAAAGAATACTGCACCATATACCCAGTGTTTAAGTGTATAATAAAATAAATCTGTGGCTGTATATTTTTTGCTGAAATGCAAACTCGCTATAAATTGGTTAGTTAAAAAAATCACAAGGTGTCAGTTGAGTTTTCTAGGTACTGACAAGGAGAATAAATTTTTAAAAATCCAGTGTTTCTTAAATTGGTGATTATTTCCTTTATTCTCGTGACCTTTGTATTTGGTTGAAGGGTGTTATTGTGAGGAGAAATTATTTGTCACTGAATTCAAAGCTTCAATATCCCCAGCCCCCAGGCAATTCTGGGGGCATATGAACTTTTCAAGACCGTGTGTTTCTTTCAAATACCTATCCCCTGGTCAAACTCCCCCACCCAGGCAGGGTATAAATTCACCTCTGTCCATGGCTAACAGTCAATGCCTGTGGGTTGCCCAGGGTGGGGTGGGGATGTTAAAACTTTGAATTGATTGGCACATTAGAAGTCAGTCACTCTTTGTGGTTAATAGCCTGTTCGCGGGCTATATGGTTAATAGGTTACTCCGACTTCTTTTCATCTCTAGGAATGTGTTCATAGACTCCAACTTGAAGGAAGTCACTCAAAATGAGTAAAGCTTTAAATGGTAGAATCCTGTAACAACAACCACAAAAAAAAAAATCAAATTAACATCATGAAGTGGCTCTTGTAGCAAACACTTGTAGATACATAAATAAAACTGTTAAAGAGAGGAAGAAAATGTCAGAACAAAAATAATTGAGTATGAAAAAAAAATCTGACAAGAAAGGAAGAATCTAATGAAAGTATACTTTTGTCCAAGTGTTTACCTCACATTAACATGACTGACAGTACAGTCCCTGAGTTATGAGTGTAAAAACTGAATATCTTTCACAATTGACATTCAAGCTGCCAAGTTGGGACTTTTTGGCAAGAGCAAGTATTGAATCGAGGTGGGCCCATTGGCCATCAAAATTTGGCATCCATCCAAGAGCAGTTGAGGATGTCCCCTAGAATTTCCTACCTCAAGCAATATATGTCATTCCTTTCATAAACAATCAGTGAACATACAGCTTATTTTCCAGCAATTGCTCTTAGAATACAACCTATCTACAGTTGACATCTATAGATGCAAGGATAGTGTGACAGCTAAAAAGATAAAGGATATTGGTGGCACTAACCCAGTCAAAAAGAAGTTTAAAGCAAGAGTGCGGGGAATTAAGAGAATTTCCTCATCTCTAAGAGTGGCTGCCACAACCTCTTTGGCCACATAGTCTGGCTCAAGGACTGGGTACAGTGATGGAAATCTACAGAACAAAACAAAAAATAATTACCAGAGTACACCGATACACAAATGGCTCAGGCCTTTCAATTTTTTTCCAAGAGCATTCTAGGCAGAAAATTATCCAGTCTCTGAACAAGTTAGGAACACCATTACAGTCCAGATGAATAGTTCACAGTTCTTACCGAGCCTTTGGATACCACACTAATCCAGTGTTTACTGTGTATGGTTGAACACAAGTCACTTTAATGCCAGTTTTTCCCATTTCACGCAGCTCTAAGACTAACGACTGACTGAAACCTGTGGCACCAAATTTTGATGCATTGTAGTCAGTCAAGTTGGCTGAAGCAAAACTGCCTGCTATGGAGGTTATGTTGACAATATGGCCCTTGTTCTTCTCCAGCATATCTGGAAGGAATGCACGCACAGTCTGCAGCAACAAAAAGTTAAAACTATTGATTTTCCATTCTTGCTTCGACGCCTAAGAGTGACCAGCATCTAATTTCTCCTTACAAAATTATACCACCCCAAATTTTACATAAAGGTCATTAAAATAAACAAAATATTAGCTCTTGATTGTAAAACAAAAATTCTCCCTGCTAGCACCTTTAAGGACACGTATGGAGGACAGTACTGAGATATTTATGCAACTGATGTTGGGATATAAAAGATTTATAAAAAAAATTACATTTAAGGCAGAGATGCCATGTCAGCAAGTTGGTGACGACTTAAAATCAAACTTTTAAACACATGCTTATTATAGATCCAATTAAGTTTAAGTTTAGTTTAAGTTCAAGTTTAGTTTAAGTTTTATTGATTTGCCACAGGAATGGCAGGAGAAAGGAACAGAACTTTCATTCCAATTGACACCTAACCCCTTTTTTT